CGGGAGCGCCACCACACTCCCAAGCGGCGCACTGTAGCAGTGTGCCACCGGGCCGGCCCTAAATAAGGTGTCTTTAAAAAGAAACACAAATTAAGAAGGTTATGCATCGATTAGCTGATGAAAATGTTGTGACAGAGGCTCACACGAACCTAACCCTGTATTTCCCTAGAAGCAATGTTCAGTGTTTGCTAATTCAGTGTTCGTGGCAACTTTATGGAACATAACTACTGGAAATAACAAGAATCTACTATGTCCATCTCTTACAGTGTAAAGTCTTTCAGTTTAGTTCAGTGTCTGGGAGATAAATATTTAAGCAGTTCTGGGTTACACTATACTTCCTCTGTCTTCTCCCCAAGATGACGTCAGGCTGTCTAGAAAGTGTGTCCTATTGAGGTGGGGCAGCTGTCCCAAGGGCAGTTCCTCTGGTTCCTCAAAAAGAAACACAAATTAAGAAGGTTATGCATCGATCAGCTGATGAAAATGTTGTGACAGAGGCTCACACGAACCTAACCCCGTATTTCCCTAGAAGCAATGTTCAGTGTTTGCTAATTCAGTGTTCGTGGCAACTTTATGGAACATAACTACTGGGAATAACAAGAATCTACTATGTCCATCTCTTACAGTGTAAAGTCTTTCAGTTTAGTTCAGTGTCTGGGAGATAAATATTTAAGCAGTTCCGGGTTACACTATACTTCCTCTGTCTTCTCCCCAAGATGACGTCAGGCTATCTAGAAAGTGTGTCCTATTGAGGTGGGGCAGCTGTCCCAAGGGCAGTTCCTCTGGTTCCTCCCTGACCTCTGTGGAGGTATCAGTGGCCACCCTTCTGGCCATCTGCAAAGTCCAAGGCTGGTGAGGCTTGTGGCATGGGCTCTCCCCACACATTTCAGAACCAGGAGTCCCCAGGCTGATTCTCAGAAGATGGGGCTGAGGCCATCTTCTGAGAGTCAGCTCTGTCCTCCACCCAATCCCAGGCTTCTAAGTGTCTGTATGGCAGGATCACTTTTTAACTGTGATAAAATACACATAACATAAGATTTACCATTTTAACCATTTTTAATCAAACAGTTCAGTAGCATTAAATACATTCACAGTTGTGCAGCCATCACCCCCATCCATCTCCAGAATTTTTTCATCTTCCCAAAATAACATAAGATTTACCATTTTAACCATTTTTAATCAAACAGTTCAGTAGCATTAAGTACATTCACAGTTGTGCAGCCATCACCCCCATCCATCTCCAGAATTTTTTCATCTTCCCAAACTGAAACTCTGTCCCTGTTACACACACAGTGCTCATTCCCCCTGACCCCAGCCCCTGGCAACCACTATTCTACCTTCTGTCCACAATTTTGACTCCTCTAGAAACTTTGTATAAGTGGAATCATACAGTATTTGTCTTTTTGTGACTGGCTTATTTCACTTAGCTTAATAACCAAGTTTCATCCATGTTGTAGCATGTGTCAGAATCTTCCTTTTTAAGGCTGAATAATATTCCATTTTATGGATATACCACATTTTGTTTATCCATTCATCCGTCAATGGACACTTGGGTGTTTTATACCTTTTGGATATTGTGAACATGCTGCTAGAAATATTTGTTTACGATTCACCCAAGATATTTTTGAAGATTATCATTTAACTTCTACAAAATTTTATATTTATCTAGATATCCTTGATATTTGGACATTATATCCAATCGGAGGGTGGGCGAAGAGGAAGATAGAGCACTCACAGATTCTCCTCTATGTTTAACTTGATGGTAAAGCTGTTTCCTGTGGCTGCTATAACAGACTTGGCTTAAAACAACAGAAGTTTTTTCACTTACAGTTTTGGAGGCCAGAATTCCAAAATCAGTCTCACTGAGCCAAAATCATGATGTTATCAGGGTCACACTCCCTGTGGTGCCTCCTGGAGAGAATCCATTTCCTGCCCATTCCAGCTTCTAGTGGCTGCTGTCATTCCCTGGTTTGTGGCTGCATCACCCATCTTTAAGGCCAGCATCGTCAAATATCTCTCTCTGTGTCTCCACGTTCCCTTCTCCTGTGTCTCTGTCTCAAATCTCCTTCTGCCTCTCTATTATAAGGACAACACTTGTAATTGGATTTAGGGCCCACCCAGATAATCCAGGATAATCTCCCCATTTAAAGATTCTTAATTACATCTGCAAAGACCTTTTTCCAAATAAAGTAACATTTACAGGTCCTAGGGATTAGGGGCCAATATCTTTGGGGGCCTTTTTTCGGTCTGCCACAGATGCTGTTCACTGTGGCCTTAATGGAGGAGGAGGAGCAGATTTGGTAGAGAAGATAACAAATGACTAGTCTAAGGTGACCCAGCAAGTTAGAGAAAGGGACAGGGCAGGACCCACACCTGTGTTCTTTACACTTTCTTGTAATAACTGGGCAGATGATTCCACAAGTGAACATGGCTAAGACTGTCACCCTCTGAAACTGAAACTAGTAAAACAACAACAGCAGGAGGGCAAATAAGGGACATTTTAACTATTTTTGAAGTGGAGCTACCCAGAAGATGGTTTGCAAGTATGTTGCAGGTAGAATTAGCATCATTTCTTTGAACCAATCAAAATGGTCAACTAGTAGTCTGAAGCACTATCTGTCCTAAAGAAAACTATGATCTATTCACTTAAATTGTAACTTGAATATCCATGTCTCAAAATTGTTCAGACAAAGTTCCTGGAGATCATTACACTCTGTGGGATGCCTTAAGACCCTTATATCCATAAGGTAGGCTAAACTGCTATAATAAAGAGTAGAGCTTTTGCTGGTAACTGAGGATGCATAGGATCTGATTTTTAAAAAAAAAAACAAAAAAAAGCAGTACTCCTGATACCCATAGAAAAGACAACTGGATTTGTACCACTTAAGAAAATTACTCTGAACTATGGCTTTTCCAGATCTTGACCTTCAAGGTGACCACCAAGGTGTTGCTTATAACAAATACCTGGAACTGTGTACTTTGTAAGAAAATGTAATTTATTGCTTACAGTTTCAGAGACTGGGAAGTCCAAAGTCCAGGTAACACATTTGGAGAGGGTGTTATTTGGTGGTGGCTTTACAGCAATGCAAGGATCTCACATGGCAAAAAATGGTGGAGTATAGAGACAGGAACTCTCATGTGCTCTCCTTGTAAAGCCCTCAGAACCACTCCCATGACCACCATTATTAATCCATTCATTAGGGCGTGATCTTCAGAATCTAATCACCTCTTTAAGGCCCCAGCTTTCAATTACAACAATAGGATTTCCCACCCTCTTACCACTGTCAGAGTGGGGACTAAGCCTCCAACACGTTAAACTTTGGGGGGACACAATTCAATCCACTGAACTCACCTAATTGTTGAGAATTACATGAAAATCCTGGCCTTGGCTGATGCTCAACAAATGTACTCTTTTCTTTTCTTAAGCAATAAATGAATTATTCCATGTTTTGAAAACCTAAACCAAAGAAATTAAATAAATGAGGAGGGAGGAAACTGCTTTTGAATGTTAAAAACATATTATACATTTTTTATATGAATTCTAAACTGCTTTATCAGTTAAATAATTCTCAACATTTATGATGTGGGCCATTCTTCGTACCGAAAAAAGCCAATGGAAATGTTGTGTCTGCCAACTCTTCCCACTTCAAAAGGAGAGGTCTTGGGCCGGCCCGGTGGCGCACTGCTGCAGTGCGCCGCTTGGGAGCGCGTCGGTGCTCCCGCTGAGGGTTCGGATCCCACATGCGGACCGGTTCCCGCTCACTGGCTGAGCGCGGTGGCGCACTGCTGCAGTGCGCCGCTTGGGAGCGCGTCGGTGCTCCCACTGAGGGTTCGGATCCCACATGCGGACCGGTTCCCGCTCACTGGCTGAGCGAGGTGCGGGAGCAACGCCGAGGGTTGCGATCCTGTTGCCGGTCCTGGTCCGGTGCGGGCACAACACTGAGGGTTGCGATCCGTTGCCAGTCATGAAAAAAGACAAAAAAGGAAAACTGGTCCGGTGCAGGCACAACACTGAGGGTTGCGATCCGTTGCCAGTCATGAAAAAAGACAAAAAAGGAAAAAAAAAAAAAAAAAAGGAGAGCTCTTGGTGCTTTGATGTGAGCAGCACATCATTTATCTTTCTGCACTCTACAGTTCATTCCTATGGAGACTTTTTGATAGGCTTTAAAAATATGTTTCCTTTCTCTAAAGTCTCAGTGCAGATTTATTCTTTGGATCACGTGTAATTATAGTTCTTAACATTCAAGGTGTTGTGTGAAATAAAAATAACCCATCTCAGGACCAGCCC